GGGGGGAGGATGCAGTTGATGTTAAAATAAAATTACTGCAAGAAAAAAAGCCTTACTCTTAAAATGTTTTAAAAAGTTTTAAAAGACCTTTGATGCCAGTGCTTTGCAAAAAAAAAAAAAAAGGAAAAGAGAGAGAGAGAAATTAGTTATGTGTGCACATCAAAAATCGGTTGCCAAGAATGTTCCATCAGAAATAACCAAATCAGCCTGTAAGATTTCCAATAAAGTTGATATGTGCCAGAGAGTGTGGCTTGAAAAGTTGAGAATTGGATTGTCTGTGAGTCTTTCCTTTGGATCGAAAGGTTGGCGTATAGGTTTAATGCACTCTTTAAAGATTTTTTTAAATGCAGTAATGCTTCATATTTTATTTCATTTCAGGTTCTTTGGATTATCACATATTCAGCCTTACACTTTGACTGACAGGAGAGACCTCGGTTTCCTTCTGACTCTGTGCAAGTTTACAAATACATCCACGTGGGAGGAATGAAGTCGCAGAATCCTTCACTGGGACTATATAAGAGATAGTGAAAGGAATGGCTGGTGCTAGGAGAACAGAGTTGGCCATATTTTGTGTGAACAGATTAGGGGTTTACTAATACTACCCATAGATCTTTAAGCACTAACACCTGTAATAACCACAAAACCCACAAATTAACCAACACACCGTAAAAGTATTTACCACTACCAAAGCAGATGAATGTTAATGCTAGGAATCGTTATGGTAGTGTTCACTGCTTTTACGGTGTGCTGGTAAATTTGTGGGTTTGGTGGTTAATATGGGTGTTAGTGCTAAGAGATCTGTGGGTTATGTTAGTAAATGACAATTATCATTTATGAGACCCGAGTTATACTGAATTCCTTGGGTGGTATGTTATGCAGTAGGAAATGCTGCCACATTTGAGTGTACATTTAACATGTTGAAAAAAGGAAGTAATAGCTTCTGTGGAAGAACTATGTACTTACCAGCATAATGTTAAAAAACTTTATTTAATTGAATCAAGCCCTTCTTATGTGGACTTTGGTCTTGTTTTGTCAAAACAGCACTTGTTTTCTGAATGTTAGACCTTAAAACTTACTGCTACAACTTAAGAAATTGCCACATTGCATAAGCTTTTTTGATTACTAAATAAGATTGTAAGCAGGTACACAGAAACATTTGTTTACATATATACAGAATTTGAAAAGATATGCCAGACAGACAAAATCCTACTTGTCTCATCAGACTAAATTGTTTTAAATCTAACTAGTCTCATTGGGTTTGTATCTTAAAATTGAAAATTCCAATTTCTTTTTATGTACAGACACAGATGTGTCTGTACATATAGCCATCATCTGCGTCTGTCGTCGCCGTCGCCGTCGCCGTCGCCGTCGTCGCCGTCGCCGTGCACTTTTACCGATAACACGATAAGTGGAAAACTGTCTTTTCTTTTGGCTTGAAACTTACAGAACTGATGAATATTTGTAATACGCAGGTCAAGTTCGAAAATCAGCATGATCGGGTCACTTACAGGGAATTTATGCTGTTTTTTCACTTTTTTCAGCATATATGCAGCACCGATAACACGATAAGTGGAAAACCATTTTACCTTTTGGCTTGAAACTTACAGAACTGATGAATATTCATAATACGCAGGTCAAGTTCGAAAATCAGCATGAT